GAAGTTTAAGCTGAATTTGACAGGAGAGGTCAGGAGCTCAGAGATGCTAACATCCTTCCAGCCAAGGAAAAGAGAAAATCCTCTTTTTCCCTGCAAAAGAACAGGCTGTGTGGTGAGCACAACCCTTTCTAGCCATCAAAGTCCTGGTACAGGGTGTCTCTGAGGGAAAGCAGGCTTTATTTGCTAAAAGATCTAAACTGGAATACTGCCTTGGCTCCTAGGGACATGTTGGGGTGACCTGTGGCATGAAGGGGATAAGTGACAACTGGGTCTGGGCGCACTCGGATAGGAAAGACTCCTTGTTTTTCACTCTGAATATTTTTTTTTTACTCTGAGTATTCTTTTTTCACCCTGAATATTCTTTTTCCCTTGCTGTGCTGTAACAGTGACCCTATGGCCTGTCACACAGAACTTGCTGCTGTGCTGGCCATGAGCTCTGGGTCAGTATCTGCAGCAGCCAATAGTTAAATTTTTTGCTTTATAATAACAAAAAAAAAAATGCCTTGCTTGCACTTTCTTTCTAGCTAATCCAATTTGTCTCCTTACTGCTTTCAAATGCCTTTTAAAGATTCCTAGCAATGTATTACAGAAATCCATTTGCCGAGATGCAGCGAAGAGGGGCATTTTTATTTCGCAGTTATTAGCGAGTGACAAGGTAAGTAACTCGGGGAAGATTGATCACCCGAGTAAGCATTTTTACTTTCTCAATTAATCCTGCCATGATCGTAATAAATCCAGGGGTGGGAGTAATTAGATGTGAGCAGACCCCGCTTCCTTTCGCGGCTGCATGTCAGGGGTAATGGATAGAGACATCTTTCTCCTGGAAGTGGCCTAGGGAGACGTCCAGTTAGATGGGATTTCTGGAAAGAAAGATAGATGTCAAGGGCCAGCATTCGCTTTTTTCCTCAATGGAGAACAGGCTCATGCCATCAATCCACATTAAGAAAACTTCATGGCTACACAGGAATCCAGTGAGTGTAATGCAATTAGCCTGGTGCACTTTTTAAGCTGGGATTTCTTAATGGAATACCATTTGCCTTGAAGTTCACACTGCATTTTCTTTCTCTCTCTCTTCCTTTTTTTCCTCTCTTCCTTTCCTCCTTTTATTTTAATTAAGAGAGTCCTTTTGGTTCCCAGGGTGCCTTTGCACATGGGGTTAACTTCTAGATTGTGCTGGAGGTTCCCATCCCAGGGCAGGATGACACATGTGTGCATATCGCTGGAATTCTATGGAATTCCATGATTTCCAGGAAGACCGAAGAGAGATGCCAAGGAAGCAGCAGAAAACTGGGAAGGGCAGCCAGCCACGTGCTCTGGAAATGCTGGGAAATCCGGAGCATCGCACCCAAAAACTCACCTGTTGCCCCCTCTCTGCAAGGAGCCCTTCCCTGCAGATCTCCCTGTTCTCAGCCCTGCTCCTGCTGAGATCTCATTAATAGATTGACTTATTTGAAAGTCATTAGAGAGGCAGGCGGCCTCCTGGATGCAGCATCCCAGAGGCAACTTGTTAGCAGCTGCTCTGCAGCTACATCAAGAGATTTTCTGACAACACAAAAAAGGCAGCTGACAATGTCAGAAACCACCAAGAGGGATTCAGTTAGAAGAGGAAAGGGGAGAGAAAAAAATAATAATAAAGCGCATTAGAACATCTCTTAAAGCTTATCAGAGATGGGGAGTTTCAGAGCAGAAATGGCCAGTGAGGAATGGAGGTGAATTGTGGAAAATTGTGAAAAAGCAGGGGCCAGGCTGAGGAGGAATTGGAGCCCATTCCTCCTCCCTGGGAAGTGTTTATGAGTAACATGGGGATCCTATTTTGCATTGCCAGGGTATCCATACAGGGTTTTTTATTTGCATAGAAGCTTCGGCCTAAAATCTGGAAATGCTACATGGTGGCAATGAGGAGTTCTGCTCTCAGGCACAAACAGACTGAGATTTTGGGCCATTTTCACACTGCAATTGCTGATATTTTGGCTGACGATGCAGTAGGGGAGGGACCTCTATAGATGCGCCTTCAAATGCAAAGGTGCTGAGCAAGCCAGACCTTGGATGTTCCTCCCTGAGATCTCAGGTCCTTTTTGCAGGAAAATCTTGGAAATATGATCCATATGCACTCAGGGATGCACAAAAGCAACCCCTGACTAAAGAGTCCTGGTAAACTCTCAAAAATCTCATGATTAGTCATAGCCCGAAGGTGATACTTGAACTGCAAGATTAATGACACCGAAGTTTTTGCACGCCTCAGGTTTTAAATACCAATCTCACAAAGAGCCTGGGCAAAACCTCAAAAAATAGATTTATTTTTGCCAGTGCCATAGTTTGCTTATTTGTGGATGCATCTGTGCATCTTTACAAGGGGAGCTTGGAGCGAGCGTCTCCTTCCCATTGCATTTTGATGCTGTTCCTTTGAACAAGCACACTCGCTTCTACTTACCAACTTCACTGAAAGTGCACATAGGAGAGATGAGTTCCTGATTTGGGTTGGTATAGCAACTCCACCAGTGAGCCTGCAAGGTCGCATAAACCCACTTGAAAGAACTAAACAAATAGCAGCTAATACATCAGAGAGAGAGGGAAAAAAAGAGCTTGTTAAATCAATTTTTGTCTTCATAGTTGGAAAGCAGATGGCAAGGTGGGGCTAGGAGGAGGGACCCAGCGCATAGAAAATGCTACCCGCAAGGAGTAAATAATTTCTCCTCTCTCTGACTTGCAAAGTGTGGGAGCAGAACATTACAGCTAGTTTCTTCCACCTTGAAGTGAGGTTGTTCCTGTGATTTACAGTTGAGTAATGTGTGAGGAATACAATAAAAATTAATAATTAAAATAGCAAAATAGTCTGCCAAGCATTTAAATATTTTTAGCTGATTGCTGGAGTTTGTGAGCACAGCTTCCTTGGCCCTCATTTGGAAGCCACTTTTCCTCTTGGACAGAAGGAGCCAAAACCTTTTGCTTTGGTGAACAGCTCTCAGCAAAAGCAATATTCCCCAAATATTGAACTTTATATAGTCCTGAGCCTCCAGATGAGAACCTGGGAGCATTGCTCCCAATTCTGGGAACGTTGGGATCCATGGGGAAGGTCTCTCCCTTCACAAAGCTGCACATTTGGGAATCCCAAGGACCGCGTTATCAGAATTAAGGATTAAGGAGTAAATTTGGGATCCAAATAGCTACGAAGTTCTATGGCTTTTGGAGATCAACCCTGCAAAAGGGACCTGGAGACTGGGCTTTTCTTCAGCCTCACAGGGAGATGATAGGGCCAGTCCCAAGGTGCTGATGGAGGTTTTAATGTGAATCTCCTCAGGTCCAGATCAAGAAGATATGTGGCCTGCCAGACCGAAGCCAGACAAGTCCCTGCTAATGCCACGGAGAGAGGAAAGCAATTAATTTGTAAATTAGGACCTCATTTCTACATTCTTATTCTTTGCAGATGCACAGCAGCTCAACAGAGCTGCTTTTACAATAACGACAGAAAAGAAGAAAACCACAAAATTTCTGTGAAACTTTTTGGTTGGCACAGAGAGAAAATCTGGTGTTACGCATCCTGCTTTAGCTCCCTTTCCCCTAGGGTGACTTTGCTCTGTAGGGTGGGTGTGCAAGAACAGCCCCAGGGTTGTTCTAAAATCACTGCCGAAAAGTCGAGCGTGCAGGTTAAGACTAAACATACGCAGTGCGTCTTCCTGGGAAAACCCACCGTGGTTGTGAAATCTCCGGAGAGATTTATGGAATCTCCAGTGCTCCTTCCTCCTCAGTGTAGAAACAAGTCTCAGGGAGCATTTAGAAATAAAACTCATGCCTTTCTACCTTATAAACAACTTCTGTTTATGTTCCCAGGAGGGAAATGGGTCGGTGGTGGCCTATAGGACAAAGAGCGCTGCTGCAAACCCCAGGGACAAGCTGGTGGCCTGCGGGTCCTTGCAAAACTCACCTGTGTGTTGAAATGTGCACATCAGAGAAGGCACCACGCACGTCCCGGGCTCCACGGGCACCGCGGCACCTGCCTGGTTATATTTCACCCGGCAATCACTAATTCACCCTTCTCGGCCTTGGGTTGCAAACACGGCTCGCCAGTGAGTAAAACAGCCTTGTAAACCGCCTCCAGGGATGGCTAATTTATGGAGGGAAGAAACAATATCCTTCCCCTGGTGCCACTTAACTTTTCGTTTCATTTTTGCAGTAATTGCACGTGACATCTGGAAAGATTGCCATGCAATCCCCGGGGAAAGGCAGGGCAGAAGGTCAGGATGCTCCAGGGGCGGACACGAGCCCTTGCAGTGCACGGAGCTTGGGGTAGCTTGGGGTGACACCGTTCCCTTGCCTTGGCAGGCCTCAATGGGGACCCTGTTGGTGGCACTGAGTGCTCCGTGCATCGGGACCAGCCTGGCTCTCCGTGCCTCAGTTTCCCCATCGGGAAAACGGGAAGCGCCGTCACCGCAGGAACACTATAGACACTAAGGTACCTGTGAAACAGCTTGGCCAGAGCCTGGGGAGGAGGACGGGGACCAGCTGCCGCTTTGCGGAGATCGCTGCACCTTTAAAAATCCCATCACGTTGCCGCTGGATTATCCATTAACCTGATGGGAGCTGCCTGGGGGCGGCGTTCTGGGCAGCGAGCGGGGCTGGTCGGCTGCCTTCCTCCCTTCCCATTCTCCTCCTCCTCCCTGCTTATCAGCAATTCAGATTGCATGCAAATCTCCCGGCTTTCTTCCGCGGGCAAGGCGGAGGACGGAGCGTTTCTGCCGAGCGCAGCCTAGGGAGGGAGTTATCTCCTCCTCCTTCCCCACCTCCTCCTCCTCTTGAGGTTTTCTTCCTTCCCCCCTCCTCTCTTCTCCCCTCCCTCTCTCTTTTCTCTTTCTTTCCTGCCTTCCACCTCCCCGAACAAAAGTCGCGCTTCTCTCGGCGCAGCCCCGGCCGGAGCGGGGCCGCTTTGTTCGCCCGCGCCGTCGGGGCG